TCTGTATTTAATTTCATCCTAAGATTGCCATGCTGACAGTCATTTTTGGTTACATACTATATAGTGTTTGAACAGTGGAACTTTTTTTCTGGTAAGTTTCTAATGAACAGTTGAATGAAGTCTCTAATTGTCTCTAATGAAGACTGTTGTAGTCTTCAGTTGTTGAAGTAGAGACTGTTGTCTCTAATGAAGACTGTTTCTAATGAACAGTCTAATGAAGCAGTTATCCTGCTTTCCTAAATATGCCTTAAAATAAATTTCACACACTGCAAAATAGCAGATGTATGTAGCCATCAGATTGCAACACTGCTATAAGCCAGCTGCTGCTAACATGTAACACAGCTCAAGAAATCATAGTTAAATTTTAAGGTAAATAACTGTTTTCCATAACCCTGGGACTTTTGTTCAAAATCTCTGACCCTGCAGAGCTCAAATTCTGCATAAAGTCTTTAATGCTGCTACAGTGATGCTGTGGACTTCAGACTGTGGCAGGTATCCCAATCTTAACAGGTATGGAGGGCTTGCACAGCTGAAATCTGCAAAATTGCCAGGCTGAACAGAATTCTGGGTTTTTGACCTTTTGATATACCTTAAGAGACAGAGCTTCATGTTGCAAGTCACTGTGTGAAAAATTCTAATGCATTTTTAGTGAATGTAATTTTAACAAAGATTTTCACAAATTGCTTTCTTTTTAAAATAAACTTACTGCTATTTTTTAATATCTGCATTGGCCAACTGAGTCCTGTGAGATCAGTTTGTCATTACAGTCTTCAGTAGACCTTAAAATAAGATTAACAAAACCAAACAATATTATATATTCCTATGTAGATCGTGAAAAATGGAAGAAGAAATACTTTGAGGCTAAGAAAGCTACGGTTTCACTGGAGGATGTTTTAAGCAAACTGGGACAAGATTTAGACCTTTGCCACCAGAAATTACTCTTGCAATTAGAAGCCAGATATTGCCGAAAACAACCAAACAATGCAACAAACATGAAGGTATGTACTTAAATTATTTAATCTTTTGACAAAACCTCTTTCTTGTATAAAATATAAATGAAAGTAACAAATTCATCATCAACCAGTGACTTCTAAACTAGCTATAACAGTCAAATATTCCTCAGTAACCTGGGGTGTGGCCACTATGAAGTTACTCCATCCTGTTCTTGTTGAAAAGGCTGAAGGCTTGAATCTGAGCTTTTGAGTCTTTCTGCTTTGTGTTTGTACAGCACTGTCTCATGACAGAATATCCTTTTGTTCAGTGCGATCTTTGAGTTGTTCAGTTCTGCATTGCTCTTATAATCCAAAATTTCACGGGAAGAGGTAATGAATTGTAATTATGCTTGAAGAAGAGACATCTCTGAAGTTTTTGAAATGGTTACACTTAGACTGTTGAGCAGCTGTGAGGTTTGTGTTGTGCTGCTGATGTCGAAATAGGGGAAATTCATAGAAGAATTACAAAAAAAAAACAACAAAACCCGAAACGGTAAACGTGCATCTCAATAGTCACAGCTGCTAATTTCATAAATGCATCATAGAAGCAAGAATATTTGCAAATCTGAGTCTGGACTAGGAAAATATATGAACTGTAGGAAGTACATGGAGTATCTTATGCTTGACTGAAAAGTGGGAGATAATCTATGATTGTACAATGTATATAAATGTACATTAACATAAATATCTAAAACATAAAAATATGAAGTTTTTATACTACATTTTTATTACAAGCTCTGTCTAAGTATGCTGACTCCTTTTTGGAGAGTCAGAGTTCTCAGGCTCTTGGGCTGTGCACAAGGAGCCTTTATATATAAAATATGCACAACTTAAACTGCAAAACAGTATGCTGTTACTGAGGAGTTCTGATCTGAGAAATGAGAGGGAGAAGGGAGGAAGGCCACTGGCTGCTGAGGAGAGCCGCCCTCTGTTGGCAAGCAGACTGCTTCCAGACCTGGACAAGCAAGCATGCGTTGAAGCACGGAAGGATGGAAGAGAGTAGAACTGGAAAGAGTCCAGAGGATTGTTTCTGAGGGGTGAAGTAGCACTCAGGGAATGAAGAGAAGCCTTAATGCTGAACTACATTAAAGTTTTTGGGTTTTGTTTTGTTTTGTTTTGTTTTTTCATGTAGAATAACAGAATCATCCAGATTACTACAGTGCAGCATGAACTTGATCAACTGAAAAGGAAGCTGGATGATACAAAAATGAAACTCGTAATAGAAATTAAGGTACTCTGCCTTTGTTTTACTTTTTAATTAAAGCAGTCAAAATGTTACTACCTATTAAAATCTTCTCAAACATTAGAAGATCTAAATATTTGTTAAACAGTTGGTATTTTCAAGTTCTTATTGTATTCTTATTCTTATGGTATTAGTTATCATAACTTAGCACTTGAGCCAAATTACTTCAGAGCATGAGGTTAGTAGATGTATTTTTGGAAGTTTGGCATTAAAGCTCTTACTTACACTTTCAAGGTACTATGTTGCAATCTCTTTCATAAGAAGTAATTGAAGAAACATACTAGGTGAGGTATAAAGAAAAAAAAAAGGCAGAATGATTTTCCAGGAAAATGCAAGCTGTTGTCAACTGCTTTATTCCATATCAGTGCTGCCTATGGCTCCCTTAGAAAGGAAGATGATGGTAGAGCCCTTCATATTGGATAGCAGTCCAGTGTTGAACGCTTGAAATCTCAGTGCTCTGCATCACAGAGATTGTCTGTGGCACTGTGTAATCTAGGGTGGATATGCTTCCTTCATTGTATTACAAGGAGTAGAAAAAGCAATGAATTCCATGGTTAAAGAAAGACACCACGGCCAAGTGCTAAAACAAAGCTGTCTATCTAATTAGACGTGTAAGATTTTAAAGATAAAGGATGTATCCTGTATTCAGCCGTCCCGCATGAAAGTCAGTCAGTCTTAGCTATACAAACACACCAATTCCAAAAGCTACTTTAAATTACAATTCCTTAAATGTCTGGTTCTTCTGCAGATGAGAAAGCAGGCAATAGCAGATTTACGAGCACTGAGAGCAGAACTAACACAGAAGAAGATTCATTCAGCTTTAATTCTCCAGTCTGGGAAATCTGGAATTTAAGAGCATGACTCAACAGTAATGTATATGGAAGCTCAGAACATCTGTGTTGCTTTTTGTACGCTCTTAAATTTCTCTTGTAAAAAGGCATCAGCAATGCAAGTGATGTGGAATTTGTACACTAGCCTGCTAATGTACTGCAACTCACCTCTTTTTCAATCTCATTACTGAAAGGTTTATCAGCTACATGAATCTACATTTTTAACCTAGTCATGTGTCTAAAACAAAACTATTTTTAAAATGTAAATCGGTGAATCGTGACGTCACATCAGTATGCTGATGATCCTTCATACCTACTAAGTAAATAAACCTAAAATCTAAAGTCTTCTGTTCAGATTTTGGGGCACACATTTAATTTTTTGATACATGATTAACATACATCTTACACAGAAGTAGAGCAGAAGTAATCTTTCCTTAGCTATTTACTGAAGTGTATTTTAGTCATTATGTGTATAATTGTCTATAAAATATCAATGTATTATTGCTACATTATTAAGTATGAACAAAATCTTTTGGTTCTTTCATATCTAGGTGGTTTTATTTCCTCTCTCAAAGGAAAGCTGCATAAACATTAGCCTTATTCTGTAATTAGTGGAAGACGCAAGCTTTGTCTTCAATAAGTTATAATTACGATCTTGGTGCTACTTAAAGTACTGTACAGTCTGCTTTCCTTTGAGTTCTTTTTCAATAAAGGATTTCATGAAGATTTTAGTGCTAAAGTATTAATATTAAAATGGCGAAGCCAGCTCCGTGTGTCTAATTCAAATTTAATTAGTAGAGTCACTCAAGCAGAGCATGGTTGTACTTTGGTTAGGAGACACTTCTGGGAAGCAGAGAAGCTGTGTGGCTGTAAGGTGTGAAACAAGTCATGCATAAACAGACAACAGCATTTATCAATCTTAGAAGGCCGTGTTTTATTTAATAAAAAAATCCTGTGGACAGTAGACAATCTCTCCATGACTGCTGTTACTTGAACAAGGTACACAATTATTTTATTATTATTATATGAAAAATATTAACTAACTAGAATGAAAATACAATCCCCTTCTATCTCAGGGGAAACACCACATAAAAACAAAGTAAAGACAACTGAGTGGATCTTGTAGTGTGTGGAAAAATATGAAAGATGTATGCAGTTCATTAAATAAGCTGACTTCTAGTTTTGAGGAAGTAGAAAAGTTTGAAGTGGTAGAAAACACCATCCCAGTCCTTTCAATAATAATGCTATCTCTTCAAGATAAAGTCCAAGATTTTTGGCTTTTGAAACTAAAGAGTTTACATGATACACAGATATGGTGAAACTTGTGTTTACTGAACGCTCTTTTCTAAGAAGAAGAATGATAAAAACTTTAAGGGCAATTATTTCATGTTACATAATTCCTTTGATGTATGAAAGATTTTCTCTCTAAGCACAAGTTTCACCAAGCTGCACCTAAGCAGCAATCTGCCTATCAGTAATCTGTGTTGAGCCATACTCAGGAATGACTTTGCTGAAATGCAAGTTGGGCTGGGAAGTCAGAAAGCTGAGTCTGCAACTATGTGACCATAGGCTGATTACCTGCTGCACCAGGCAGCCTTTTACTGGACCATTGTTATATGGGCCCTGTAAATTCACTTGGTCTTGTCACCAGATACACGCTAGGTTTGAGCTTTAGGTAGCTTACTATTGTTTTGAAAAATGAAAAAGACGAGAAGTCTTTTAAAGTGCACAGGTAAAGCAACCTTGGAACTTTACAAAGAATGAAAATACAGTTTTACATACGAAGTAGCAAGATGAATTTCAGTAGTTCTCAAAGTTTTGATTGCAATCATGGTGTATTTATAAAAAGTCAAAATCTGTCATGCTATATGCATCATCAGAAATGACCAATTTTCATAATCCTAAATCAAGTAGTTCACGATTTCATGTACTTACTTATGGTGTCAGGGCTTGCCACATTGCTTCAGTTTGTTTTTCTGCTATAGCATCCCTGGAATAGTCAAGACTGTTTCCATTCCACATGCCAATGCCCCTTAGGCCTCGATTCTTCACATATGCTGCTTTTAGAGAGATGCTGTGAGGGTCATCATACCATACTTGGTGAAAGTGACCAAGAGAATCCTAAAAAAACATGCAAACAGATAATGTCAGTATACACTCACCTATATAAATATGATATATTAAAGTTAATTGAGTTTTATTATACTTTCTATTCAATACAGTGAAAAGTACAATTATACAGTTGGATATACAAGCTATGTGTATTTATATTACAACACTTTCCTGATTTATGGTTGTTTCTCACACAGGACAATTTAAAAAAATTAAGTCAAATACTTGACTATAATTTTACATAGAGAATTTAAGTTATAAAAAAGTGATGCATTTTAATTGAAGTTAGAGGAAAAGACCTAACTAATCTCTAATGTTTCTTGTTAACTATAGCTATGATCTCAGACATGCTATCTAAACTAGCAGGTAAATTTAGTTAGAAACTATGTCCCTTTTTTCCAGCAATAAATGGTTTTAGAGGTAGTTGTAAAACTCTTAGGAAAGTTATGTGGTCTTTACCTGGTCACTGCTTAACGCCTTCTGATCTTATATAACCTGCAATGAAAATTCTGCCCAAAGAAACCAACAGTGGTGTTCATGTTCAGTACAATCATTGGTGGACCCTTTTAGTAGTTCTATGTAGAAATCAAATGCAGAAACGAACACCCAAACCACTAGTTTAGAAAAACTTAAGAGCATCCTAGAATCTCTTTTGGTTTAAATTGGTCCTCAACATCACAAATCTGTAACAGTGAAGATTCAAGCTAAAGGATTTCTTTTGAACAAAATACCCTTTTTGACATGATACTTTTTCTCTCAAGAATAGCTGTGGAGCAGTGAAAACCTTCATTACTCCTGTAATCTCAGTCACCACATCCTCTTTTCAGACTAGAAACAGAGGAGATAGAAATCCAGTCATCTACTACATGGGGGGAAAAAAGAGAGACTAGAAAACACAAATGTCCAACCCTGAAAATTTTATAGTCAAAGAACTATGGCTCACAAACAAGTAGTTCACAACGTGTGGTGTTTTATGAAGAGACACATACCTTGTATTCATAAAATGGAGAGTTTTGTACCTCATCCCATAGTGCTCCTGAAATAGAACTGTTCACCTGCTTCATTATCGTTCCATACGGCACCTGATGCCCTGCAGCATCACTGCAAGGGGCACCACGGAATGGTACTTTAGAAAGGGAACAAACATGATCCTGAAGGAAAAGAAAAAGCAGAAGGCTGGAGTTTCACATTACAGTGTTATTGAACTCCAAAACAGCAGTACAGACAAGAACAAAGTCACAAAAGGCTCTGGGAGTACAAAACTCCTAGATCTTCAAGTATCTGTGCTAGTCATGTTGTTTCCAGACAGGAGTAAATTAAAACAGTTGCATTTTGTTTAAACCATAGCGTTACAGGATTGGTTGGTTCTCATTCACCTTACACAACTGTCTTATCTATTTCCCTTCCAATTCTAATTCACTCTTACATTTTTTTCTTAAGTACAGTGTAGTTTGAGATTCCATGATTTATCCATATGCTGCTCTACTGCAACAGCTACAGGTTTACTGTTGTTTGTTGCAGCTAATTAAGCAGGAAGCTTAATCACTGTGTTGAAAAGGCAGATACAAGCATTGCAGAGACTACTTTGGATACCATCTCATCTCATACAGATAGCATCTATAGCTCTTTAGTCAGTCAAACATGTTGCTTGGGTATTACAGGGTTCAGGTTACCAATAAGGATGATAACTGCTAAGCAAACAGGGCAAGGAAAGGTCTCAAGTCACAGCATTATGCTATAAGCCATCAGACCACAGTATTTCCTAATCCAAAAACAGGATTACTAGTATCTAGCTGGTTTCTTCCTTAGAAGAAAAGAAAAAAAAAAAAAAAAAAAAAAAGTAAAAAAAAAAAAAAAAAGTATTATTCATTTGCAGTTATACATTTAATCTTACCTCGGATAGGTTTAGGCACACATAATCATAGCCATACCAGGGGACACCCATCACAAGCTTCTTAGGATCAATGCCCATAGTAATGTACTCTTCATACCCTAGTTTTGATGGAAGGAAAAATTAAAATGCATTAATGCATTTTCCGAACTGACTTATAGCCATAGTTAGCACAGGACTTGCATGATCCCTGGACAGAAACTAAGGTGTAATTCCTACCAGCACAGTCCCAAATTGGCTCTGTTCAAACTCTTCCAGTTGCCAGTAGCAGTCTTCTCAGCAGAGCTGATAAGCATTAACACATTCACAGTAATTCACGCTATCCTCTCTAGGTATTTCTTAGCACAAAACAACAACAACAACAAAATCCAGACAGCCCTGGATTGATCAGATTGATGATTCTCATTTGTCTCTCAGCTCGCCTGTGCTGACAGTTCGTTATGGGACTGTGTGGGGAGCCAGATCAGAGAACTGATTCCAATTTAAAATCATTGCTTCTCTTTTATCCTCATTTTTAAACAATTCTATCTGTTCTGTAATCCAGCTCACTGTGTATGTGCATGAACAGTTGCACCAGCAGAAAATAAATCCACACTGTTGCCAAAGGAATCATTTCTTAAACTTCAAAGGAATCTGCACTGCAAGGATGAGACAAATGCTGCAGGTTCTTTGCAAGCCCAGGCAGACACCATTGATTTGGCTGCCTTTTGTCATGCTAGAAGTGTTCTTCCGCAGCCACAAATGCAAGATGATGATTTTACAAGTGAGAACGCAACTGCTAAAGGTCTATCCTCAGTGTTAGAGGGATCTGAGATGGTATTTTCCCAGCAGGACAACATGTATTTAAGGCTACTAGAAAACCTCAGTACAACCAAAAAATATTTCTAAGAAGAGGCAATCTTTTCTAACCATTCACATTGTGAATATACAAATATTTAAATTTCTGGACAAGTCCTGTCCTCACCAACTAAAGTCTGAAGGTAAGGAGCATTGGCTTTTGCAATACAGTCGGTCCAGATCTGGCTCTGCTCATCGTAAGACATCACAAATAAGAAATCACAGGCAGCTGCAATCCCAGTGTAGTTGTAGCACCTCTTATCGATGCATGCAGGAGACCAGGCCACGTCAAATGTTACCTCAAGGAAGATCACATGTTAGTATCATGCATGGCACTTTGGCAGTCGTTTTCTGATTACAAAGAGCTGTAACTTTTAAAGACAGCATTTCCCAAACGTTGCACAGCGTTCAGCACACAGTGATACCAATAAAGTGTAGGAGAAGCTGCTCAGCTGACAAAGCAAACTTTAGATAATAATCAGAGACTGTCATTATTTGTGAATTCAAGACATGCTGTTTTCCTGTTTTTCCACAATTTACCACTTAATTTTCAAGAACCAAAGAAATTAAAATATAATGTCAAAATCATAAAAAATTTAGGAATCAGTTTACTGTTTTTTCACTAGAAGGCCCTACTTTAAAAGGATTCATTAGGCCATACTAACTGGCATCTCAGTCATTGACAATAGCATTGTACCTACAAATCTCAGATAAACCCTTCTTCCATTTAAATTCAGATAGGTCAAAGAGGTGATTCTTATGACAGAATATCATATCTAATATCCATAATTAACCACTGATGATAATATCACACATTAGCTCTGCATGTCTTTTCATATTCACATGCAGTGTTGTTAAAACTCCTTGTATTTCATTAAGTTAAGCTTAATGTTTGCAAAAGGTACATTTTCATTACCTGTGATCCTGGAATTTCTTTGTGAAAAGCATCTGTAGTTTCTTTAACAAGCTCTGTTAATGCATAATACTCAGGAGAGGTTTCATTAACTTCTTGCTCTATATCTATATTAATTCCATCCATATATTGTTTTTTGGCAAGGTCCACCTGCTGGGATATCCACACTGCTCTTTTAGCCGGGTCAACGATTTCCTTAAGAGGTACATCACCTGGGCAGGAGGGCTCCAAGAGTCAACATGTATTTGTATCACAGTATGGAGAAAAGATTTGTCTTTACTCAGCTAACTGACACAGCCAGAAAATAAAAATCCCCACAAGTATACTGTGTAAAAATCCCCACAAGTATACTGACATCTATTTCATCCTTGTGCCATTCCTGGATAATAGAAAAGGCTTAATTTATTTTTTTTAAGTATAATTTTGAGAACCCACACCAGGAGAGATTACCTAATTTCTTTAAGACAGATGTGTTTAAAACCAAGTTCCTTTTGGATTTTTTTTCCACAATTTCAATCATCTCCTTCCTTCGGCCTACTACTCTCAGCCACTGTAAATTTCCTTTCTTGAAGTCAATTGATTTCCTGTATTTCCAGAGAGCCAGAAGAACTGCCTTTTTTTGCTTTGATGCACATGCATTTACATTTAACTCCTTTTCCACACTGTCATCTTTGATCCTGTTTTTGCCTTGACAGATCCTAGACTTGATTATGGCACACACGTGCAGACTGACATGATGAACTTTGCCTTTCTAATGAGCTTTTGTACACGCACTTCCTGAGTATTCATGTTTTCAAACTCACACTTGTAACACACGATTGATTGAAAAATGCTAAAAATGCTAAATATAACTTGCAACCACTGTCTTTACCCTGTCTTCTGGGTATTGCACACGATATATAGAAGACAGACCCGAGTATTTCTCTTCTACAGGTTTTCCTCCTCTCTTCTTTCCTGCTCTCCTACTGCTGTGATGCTCTCTGTTAGAGATGATGTCACTGGAATGGTTTTGTTGTTACTGTGGCATAAAACGAGGTTAATTTTAATACCCTGCATTCCAGCACATGCAAAATGTCAAGGTAAGAGAACCCTGAGTGCACTATCCTCTTAGTAATTAAACTCCTCACTGATCTTTAATACCTTGCATAGCAGCAAATGTGAAATGTCACAGTATTACAGTGCTACGTACGTTATGCTCCTGACAACTTACAAATACCCACACTTGGATGAAGCAGCCCACCTTTCAGTACTACCCTGGCGCCTTTGGAATGAGCAAAGCACAGGAGCTCTGGATCGTATTTCCCGAAAGCCGCCACGGTTGTAATTTTTGACCAGTCATAGGATTTCCAGGCTTCTTTCCCCACATCGAACACAAAGACCTAGAGGTGGTAAGAGGCCATCTCATCAATTCTAAACCCTTCTCCGTTGCAAAGCACGACTTTTTGCTGGACCAGCGCAGGGAGCCAAGAGCTGTGGTGCCCAGGGCTGCTCACGGCCACCACCAGAGCCCCAAACACCAGGCTCGCCCCGGACAGCCAAGGTCACCCCGCATTGCCACCACTCCCCCCCGCCAGCCGGCCCGCAGGATCAGCTCCAGCAGCACCGGGACGCGCACCTCGAAGCCGCCGGTGCCCGCGATGGGCTGGCAGAGCCGCGGGTCCTGGCAGGGACACGCAGCTGCGCAGCTCAGCAGCTGCAGGAGGCCCAGCAGCAACAGCAGCCCCGCACCCCCCCGGCACGCCATGTCACATCCCGCTGCTCGCTCCGCTTCCGCGGGCTTGCAGCTCCTCCCCGCAGGGCCGGGCCGGGTCCGGGCTGGAGGGTTCTGATTGGGGCGGCACGCGTGCAGGAGGAAATGATAATCTCCATTGAGGTGCTTTTAAAGAGCAGTGTTTTATTAAAAGGTGAAACCGGCTTAAGGGAATCCGCAGTTATTGTGAGGAGCTGAAAATAACTGCGGAGGAAAACAGCGTAGTGTGAAGCAGGCTCGGCCTCGGCTTTGCCGGCCAACACGGTTGTGTCCGCAGTTCCGCAGTGAGCGCTAACGCTGATAGCAAACGTGATGCATCGCGTGATACGGAGCGTCACGCTGCGCACGGCTGCTGGGCACAGGAACACGCCGTGTGGGCATCGACGCTGCTCACCAAGTCCTCGGACTTCTGATCTAACCTGGCCTGCTCCTCCTCCAGCTCGAGTGTGGAGTCTGTAAATGAGAGGAGAAAGGAGCCACGTGAGGGGTTTTTTAATACGTCGAGGTACTCAGTGCTAACTATGATCAACCTGAAAGGTTCACAGCTTTTCACATCAGCGTGTACGTGACATAAACAGCATGGAAGTTCATCCCAAAATGAGTGCGTAGGTATAGCTCCCCACAAAAAGTCCTGAAAGCAAGAGTAGGCTCCTGCTTGTGTGATCAGTGTGTTTCACTGTTGAATTGATGTAATTGTTACAAAAGTAAGTTCACTTCTTTGATCATTTATATTTAGGTAGCATGAATTCTAGCTAAGATGCTCTCTAATAAGGCTTATTTGCTGGTGTGCAAAGATTTTGAAATATTACATCCTCATTTTTTATCCAGAGAGGGTGAAATGAAATGCCTGAGACTGTCTGAGACTGAGCTTTTTCTCCTATACACACAAACTGAGCTTGTGTATCTGTATCCCATGGAGCCTTAAGGCGGGCTATGGCTCTGTATTTCACTGTGGTGATGAGGAGGAGTAGGGAGCAGCATGAGGGTAGGAATCCTAGAATCATAGAAACATTAAGATTGGAAAAGACCTCTAATATTATGAAATCCAACCATCAAACCATCCCCTCCGCACCCACTAACCCATGTCCCTCAGTGCCACATCTACATGGTTTCTGAACACCTTCAGGGACAGTGACTCCACCAACTCCCTGGGCAGCTTGTGCCAATGCATCACTACTCTTTCAGAGAATAATTTTTTCCTAGTATCCATTCTGAATCTCTGCTGATGCAGCTTAAGGCCTTTACCTCTTATCATCACTAGTTATATGGGAGAAGAGGCTGATCCCCACTTCACCACAACCTCCTTTGAGAAGTTGTAGAGAACAGCAAGGTCTCCTTTGAGCCTGAGGAACTGCACTCCAACACACGCACTGTCATATGTTGCACAAGTACATAGTTTGTGTACTCACCAGATGGTACACAGTGGAAACCAACAGAGACAGGAACAGTCCTGGTTGCTGAACAGCCTTCTGCACAGTGTAAAACTGGCTCAATGGAAAAGCATTTTGAGGCCTTTTTGTCAAATGCAACTGGCTTCTCAATTTTGACAAACTTCCTCTGCAGCTTGCAAGCTATAAAACATGAATTCTTTTAAATAAACTAGAGAATTTCTAAGAATAACTGTTTTGAATTCAATATGTAGTATTAACTGTGATTAAGACCAGTGAACATATTGAGGGACACAAGATATATAAAACTACTCTCATTGAAGGGAAGGCTGTTTTCTGACAAACTCTGTGAGAGAATGGGGCATTTGGGATACAATCCCCAGCACAGGCACAAGTGAAGAAATCAGAAAAGATATACACTTGTGAAAACCTTGCTCAGCTGACACTAAGCTTTACCCAAACTGTGACAGCACTTAAGTTTTGTTGTGGCTCCTACACATCCGTACATCCACTTCTGCACTGTGCCTGCCATCACAGCCTTGCCATGGCTGAGCATGCCTAGACCAGTGTCCTCAAGGGAGACTGATGGAAGGATATGTTCCAAAAACGCCACAGCTTGCCCCCAGAGTTGGTTCCCGTACAAAATGCAGCATACCCTACTGTGTCCAGTTACGCTCATGCTGATGTTTTTGTACAGGAGCTAAATGGGAAGAACAGTCATTCACAGCCTGAAATTTTCAGATCAATTCCACCTTTACCCTGAGTAAATTAAAATAATTATTTCCCACCTCAGGTTCCCTCTGTGTTTTTAGCCAGAGCTAGATATGTGTGTATCTTTTAATGGGATTTAAAAGCTTGAAATAACAGTGGAAATTAAAAAAAAAAAGAAGGAAACAAAAACCCCTCAACTGTTATGGACAGACACCCTATCTTTTGTCAACAGTCAAACTACCTCGCCTTCATTTTAATTTATCATCTTAGGGAGATTTAGGTTTATAATTATATCTAGAACACAGACATTTCAACTAGTTTGGTAATGTGGAAGAAGTTACACAAGAATGCAACAAATCCAGATTTTGCAGTGAACTGCCAAACTCAGGAAAAAAATATTTTTAACTTTCCATTCATTGCAAGAAGAGTAATGACAAAAATAATATGATAACATAAATTAGGTATGTAAATCTTACAGTTACTCATGTGACTATTTAATTAGTAAGCAGTAATGATGGAATCTAAATACCTCCAGTACATACGTCTTCTGAGATGACCCAGGACTGAGCAAAACTCACTGCATCTTTAGCTAAATATCCGCTGGGCATTTGATACTCCCTTTTCTTCTCAGCATCATATTTTCCACAAATACCACATGTTTTTCCAACCATCCAGAAAGCAACCTGAATCTTTGTGGAAATAAAGAAAAGACACTCTTAGGTGTTTTTCTTCTAAAAATAAATCCTTCGAAAACAATAATAAAAAAATACCTCAAGTTTATGTCCATCATAGTACAGTTTTTCTACACCATATTCAGGGGCTTTTAATGACAAGCCTTCCTTTTCACTGCTTATCAGCAGACCTGCAACAAATGAGCGAAATGAGAGGTTAGTATTTTAGGATCCAACCTTAACCACAGGTCAAATTCTTGGGGCCTTACTGCAGTCAGTGGGTAGGGCTGGGGGAGATCTGGTTGCCTGTTCTGTGAGTCTCTGTGGACATCACAAGGGACCATAGCCTTGCACTACATTGTTTACAGATACACAGGATTGGCATCTGTTTCTTTGCCCATCTTTCCTATCACTCCAGTGGAAGTCAGGATGAAGTTATAATGAAATCATCTAATTGTTTCTCGTAATAGAATGATCTCTATCTTGAGAGGGGTTTGCAAGATCATGTAATTTTTCAAAAGAGCAGAAAAGATTAAACAAAATATAAAGGTGAGTCTCCTACCAGACTTAGATGTGTATGGAACATCTGTTGGGGTTTGAACACCATTAATCTTCAGCTGGATTAGTCCATTGGAAACATACATGTCAACCTCACTTTAAGTAAAGAAAATGAGTGTAAATAAATGCTTCTCACCATTCAGTTCATAGTTTCTAATTCTGGTAGAACCAACACTGCAGGATGCTTGAATCACTCTGAGAATAATTACCTGTTACCTTTTGTGAGGAAAGTTAAGAGAACCCAGGAAAGTATTCCAGGGGACTGCTCACAAAAGCTCTTTCCCTGGTCTTGTCGAGTTCTGAGTGTCTGCTTGTGGCCATAGTTCAGGCAGTCAGACACCAGACTACATGTATCCTTGCTGCAAAACACTATAGTTCCTCTTACGTTCATATAAATTGGAGGTGCTTTGCATTTCAGAGGAAGAATGACCTCCTTACATCAATTAAAATCTCTTACAGATTGAATAGCCTGTGTATTGTAGTATATTCTTGAGAGCAGTGTTTGTTCTAATGAAGCCTGATGCACAGACACATCAAAAACACGTCAGTACACTTGTAAAAAAAAAAAAAACAAACAAAAACAGTCAGGAATAACGCAGTGACAAGGAATGTCTTTATCACAAAAAAATTTGGTTAATAAAGCAAGCGTCCTTCTGTTTTTTGGCAAAACAATGCAGGGAATACTAGTTTCTCTCTGTTTCTCTAACATTATGGCACATCTAGGCAGACTATTTTCAGATAATTTTAAACCATACAGATCAAAGTTTATATATGCACTTTGAAGATTATTCCCTGCAATGACTTTGGTATGCATAATCCCATACTACTTAGATTTTAGATTTAATCAGATTATATTTTTAAAAAAGAACCCATGGCTGTTTCAAGATGAAACAAAGCTTGTCTTAAGTTAGTTTCAAATAGATTTGGAAAATTGTGTGTCCATTAAGAGAAAAAGTAAACACTAGGAGAACTGCAGGCCAGTCAGTCTCATCTCTGTGTGTGTGGCAAGATTGCAGAACAGATCTTCCTGGAAACTATGATAAGGCATGTAGAAAACAGAGAGGCAATTGGGGACACCATGGCTTCATTAAGAGCAAATCACACCTGACAAATTTGGTGGCCTTCTATGACAGGGTTACAGTACTGGTGGATAAGGGAGGAACAACTGACATAATCTACCTGGAATTGTGCAAAGCCTTTGGCAGTGTTCCACACAACATCCTTGTCTCTGAGTTGAAGGGACATGGATGTGATGGCTGTAGCACTCACTGGACAAGGAGCTGTCTAGGTGTTTGCCCTCAAGCAGTTGCAGGCAATAACTCAGTGTCCAGGTAGCGAACAGTGATGAGCCAGGTTCCCCAGGGGTGGGTAATGGGACTGGCACTATTTAACACTCACTTCTCAACATTACTGATGAGATGACTGCAGACATTAACTAGTCCTAGTTATTGGTTTAGCACAGGAGTTCAGACTAAATTATTACAGTAGTCTCTTGGATTTATAGTTTATGTTTCTACCTAATTACTAAGAAATAAGACAGTTAAATACTAACAAACTAATGAAGAGTTTCAGACAGTGTGTTTCAGAAACAAAGGACTTTTCAAAGGAAAAGCACAATCCTACTCCTCAGTGACATTCCTGGAAATCTTTCCACTGACGTCAGTAATTTTTCCATGAGTTTTATGCTAGTACTGATCTGCCCAAACAACCTGGTCTTCACATTTACAGCATCATCAGCTTGACATCAATCTGTCATTACATTTGCAGTTACTTACTGGCTGGCAAGCCTGACACTTATTGCTGTAAGGTCAGTAGATTCTTCAAGTCTTTTTATCATCACCAGGAACTTCAATTCTGGACTACAATCCTGAGCCAAGATGTGGTAGCAATTTGCAGGCATTGAATAATTAAACTCAACTCCATTGAAGGTTGTTATCATATTTTGGGAAACTGAACAACGAGCTGAAAAAAAACCCACAAAAGTAAACATTTTGTATATTTAAGACAGTTATTCTATTTTAGATTGGTTTATTGTTTTTATTGTTTTACTGTTGAACATTTTCTGGTTTTACCTACTTCCATGTAAAAGAAAAATGATTCCTTCAGATTAATTTTTGAATTTGCAAATCAAAACGTAGTCAGTCCACAATCAGCACAGCGACCCATTCACAATTCAGTCACCAAGAAATAAATTCTGCTCAGAATGGGTGCAGCTCTCTGTATGTGGCCTTTTGGCCACTTTGGTAACTTTGTTGTAGTCAAAAGAACATCTCGACTGTTGTTAACAATTCACATATCACTAGCAGAAGAGTAAATTCAGTGACAACTGTTGTTGTTATGTATATTGAGACATAATCAGGAGTAGAAATGGTAAGAAAATGGGGAGAAGAAAAAACAACCAACAAAACACCGTAGCAGATTTTTTCCTTTTTCACTGCAATTGTATTTTGGAAATTCTACTTGCTCCAATTAAAAACTATTTTACATCAATTTTAATTAACAGACCAATTTTGGTGTAAGGCCTTTCAATTTAAAATTTAACCTATATATCTCTTAGAGGCATTAACAAAAAAAATAATTTTTTACATTTCACCTTCAAGAAGTGAAAGTAATGGGTGCATTTTTGAAGCTGGTTAGCTGCTGTGTAACAGTACTACTCAAGTGGAGCACACCAAAACAGAATCCACTTAAACATCTTTCTCATAAATTTTTAAATGCTTTTCCTCCTGGAACAATAAATATCTGCTGTGAAGTTTAAATAGATGTACTGTAGAGATGTACTGTTGCTGTTTGGCACAGAATTGAACATTTACTCTTGCCAACACAAGTTTATTTTTCTTCACGTCTTTGCAGTCTCATAGATTTTCATTTCAGACAGAATTACTTCCAAGTGAAGTCCAGCTGATTGTTGAAGATCTAAATACTTGTGCAGATAGCTAATTGCTGACCTTTAAGGTTTTCAATGATTGAAAAGGCTGCTTGGTAAAAGACGTTCCAGTCAGAGGATGGAAGTGGTGAGGTTGGTGTATCTGAGCTTGAAGGGAGTGGCAGGGGAAGCCTGATGGCTCTGTTGTAAACTGTGAGCTGAAAATCAGTCAGAAAACAAACATGAATGAATGCAAATGTCATATGCAATGTGGAGATGAAATAGAATTTTCTTATAGCATTCAAACCTGTACTTACTGAAATCTAAATTAGAACCTAGATTTAGGTCAGAGCTTAAAATAAATCAAGTCCTCTCTCTACAGCACAAAATATTTTTGTAGCTTGACACATCTGCTATCAATAGAATAGCAGTGTTATAAATTAAGTTATCAATTCACGAGTTTTTCATGAGTTGTTTATCATGCTCACAGTCCAAATGGTTTGCTTATCTGAGATGAACACCTTTTTCTTGCCTATGTTGAGGGCTATTGTTGGGCTGTCAAGGTTCTCTACAGCCTGCTTTCATTCTTTCTCTGAAGGCACAGCAAAACCTGCCTTCCTCCTGAAGAGTTTTGGAGGAGTAGACTCCTTAGTCAGTAATTGCTATGGTGTTATCAATATGATTAAGATATTATAGCCTCTTTCTTATTTCATGTGTTTACACACTACTTGAGAGAAAGAGAAACTTTTTAAGACACTTTCATAATGGAATCATCAATGTGAACACAATGCCCTCTTGATGGGGAAGCTTCTTTATGGATCAGTAAGTGAATTTTTTTTTTAGATGGTGAGTTAAAAAAGCTATTAACCCTCAATTCCATAAGTACTTAGTGCTTCTGGACAAAAGATGTTGGAAATAGTTACCTCAGGTAGCTTTAGGACCACGTCGCAGGTTCTTGGAGACGTCAGAGCCATCACCATGGCTGCCTGGTGAGAAGGACCACGCTGCTGCTTTTGGGAGTAGCCCAGCATATATGCAGCTCCTGGAAAATATGTGTACAACCTGGAAAAGAAAGGAAGTAAGTGATTGAAACCATCCATCCTTGAAAAGATTCTTTATCATTCATTCAGACTAAAACAGCCCCTATAGCGATATGTACTCTCTGTTAGATATACATCATGTAGCAGGGTTTCTAACACATGGTGTTTTGTAAGGGAAGGAGGATGGGAAGATTTTAACAGTGTTAATGGGTGAAACAGCCTTCAAGAGACTGAACAGCAGCATGATATGAGAAGAAAAGTACAGCTAACTAGTTTTAAAGACTTACACAGTTAAAAAGTGAACTCCAGTTAAATAAAAACTAAATGACAGAAGTCCTAAAAAACAGATGACTGGTTATTAATGTTTTAGTCTTGCAATGGTCATTTTTAGCAGGGATTGTCAATCTTAGCACTAAGATTGTCAAATGAGATGACAGAGGGATCTCTATACTCAGACAGTATAGGCTTGGGATTCAAATGGAGAAATACAGGAAACATTGCTAAAAAAAGAAGAAAAGAAAAAGAAAAAAAAAAAAGAATTATAGTGTCAGGGCAGAACGAAGCTGAATTCTGTGGCTATGCTCCAGCATAGTCAGTTGGGTGCTTTCCTCCTTTATAGTAATGGCAGGTAAAGCACATCAAGGTAATACAATCTAAGAAAAAGTTATCCTCTTCAGAAGACATTTGTTAACTAAATCACTTGTACCCCTTTGACATGTTTTGCCTGCATAACCACATTATTATATATACCTGTATTTTGGCATCACTGTTAAAAAGATGGGGGTTTATATGGGTCTCTGCATTACTGTGGGTAAAATGCAATGTGGGTAAGTATAATGGATGAATGAATACAGCAGATAATGAATATAATAGATGGACATATATGGATAGATGCACATATAAACTGAGTACAGCAGTTTTCTTGTACTAAATGTCATGCATCACTTGCTAGTTAGTGTGCAATAGGCCATATGCAAAATATTCACATCACTTTCAGAAACTGGAAGTAAATTTCCTATGTTAGGAAATGAGTCTCTTAAGGCACACTGAACAGTCTGTAAGAGAAAAGCTCCTCTAGAGAACCAAATATAGGCTTCTGCTCAGAGCCTACATTGATTACGAAGCATCAGGAGACCAAGTTCCTAATTCAGCATTTTAAAATAAAAGCCTACAGGAAATTATGTTAATCCCATCATCCTCTTTGTTTCAGTTGATTATCTTGCAAACAAAAAAGCACTAAGTTTTGATGAAATGAGTGCACAGAAAAAAAACAGACTTGTCATCTGATATTATAAACTCATATTTGATTAAGGGAATGATTAAGGGAAATTTTTCCAGCTCAGATTTGCAGAATTGATTCTATGATTATCTGAACAGTGACATAGTTCAATTTTTCAAAAAACAGAGTAAAAACTCACCATCTGGCAGTTTTTCGGACACTTGAAGGCACTTTTGACCACTCTAGCTTCACCTGTATAGCCGGATGTGCAGCAAATTGTCCTGTTGCAATCTGAGTAGCAACCTTATAATCCTGGCAATCTTTACCCCATTTAAGGGTACCCTAGTAGAGGAGAATACATATTTTGTGTACAAAGCACATTAAGATTGTTAAATTTCATTTACATTTGAGCAGATCACATTTAAAACCTACCGATGCTTTATGGGAATTTACTACTGATGCATCTGCACAGAGTTTCCACTTATTTGATTCTGTTATGCTTGATACAAACACCTGCACCCTCAGTCTGGAGGCCTGTCTGTCAGTGTACAGCACAAGCTGGTATCCTGTCGGCTGCTCATTTCTTTTGATGGCACGAAGAACTGCAGCCAGTATTGGTGGCCTGCTGTCTCCCAGGAACACAGGCTTAAGTCAGTAGAGAAGAAAGACCAAAGACGTAAACAAAGCACTAAAATTACTATATTCAAATCACAAACAAAAAAGCATTTGTGAAGTTTCATACAAAAAGTCTTTTCATATAAACTACATGACAGCATCATAGACCACCATGCAAACAATACAGTTAGTGTATAGTTTTGCTCTTTCAGAGAGCTCTTACAACCTACAAAAGTAAAACAGTATAACATTGTGAATCTTTTGGTAGCATAATTTCAGTATAACAAAAAGGAAGCATGAAGTGGGACCCTGTTGTATAAAGAACCAACACTGCCCAGCTCAGCATTGCTGATGATTAGTTTCACTAATCATCTTTCTGATAAAAATTATTTAGACCCCTGCTTAAAACTGAGATAGTTGTTGATGGAAGGATCCGAGGAGGTCATGCTGTCCAGAGCGGGGTGCTTGCACATGTAGCAGCCTGTGACTCCTTCAAATTCAGAGCCCTTTGCTTGGCAGCAGCCGCCCTGGATGTTCCTGTACTACCAGAGCTGAGGGACAGAGATGCCCACCTGGCCAAGGAGAGAAGCAGGGGGACAAGCAATGAAGTCTATGGAAAGATTAGTCCAGATGGTGCTGGCAAGGGCTTAGAGTCAGCATACTTTTTCCTATTCAATTATCATAAACATACATTAAATACTTCTTGTATATGAGGACTCTCACCTGAGACACAGGTACAGAGATGCCTTCATCGCTAGATGATGAAGAAGAGGAGCTGATGCTGCTGTTCTGAACTTTCCTTGGTGAGTCCTGCAACAACAGAAAATCACTCTGAAGTTAGCTGTCTACCACTGCAAGTTATTGTAGAACTTATTTCTGATGATTTTATTCTCACTAACCTAAGTTCCAGTAAAGCTAATGAGAGCAGTTATAGGCCTTGCCCATAGCATAAGCAGAAAATTTACCTGTTCATCTGCTGGCTTGAACCAAAACTGGTAAATTGGTAGATCTGCCTGTGAAGATGAGTAAAGTGTAATAAGATTCAAGAGAAGAAAAATAACTTTTGATAAATGCATTAAAAAATCAGTGTTGAGTATGGAGAAAAAGCAAAACAAGATGCAAATTTTAAAGCATTTTAAACTAAAATCTTCTGGAATGTTAAATTCTGAACTGGAATGCTTCAGAGAGCTGAAAACAGGAAAGAGCTTTACTAGGTTACCTCGTCCATGCTGCAGCAAATTGTTTTTCACTGATCCATTCTCTATTGGCACAATTTCTTGATTTCTGGTACAAAAACATTCACAGAAATATCAAAAATCCAGTCTGAGTGAATTACCTGTTGGTTGAAATATTCACTGTTCACATTGCAGAGCTTGTCTCCAGAGCTGTCCTCTCTACTGCTGCTGCAGGCCTTACTGCTACCAGAACCAGTGCTGCTGCTGCTGCCAGAGCCATGCTTCTTCCCAAATTGCCACACCTCATCTTTCTCATGTTTATTTCCAGGCTCCTTACGCTCAGCAGAGGAATCAGTAGAAGACGAACTGGAGAGTGGGGATGCACTGGGATCTTCCCAGAGGTCTGTAACTGCAGCCTTTACTTTATCGTGAATCCACTTCTTATGACGACGTGTTTTATTTGCAACCTCCAAAAACAGATCAAAGAGTTATGAACAGCTTATATGCAGCTTGCTCTGTAACATTTCTCTGGCTGTCAAACTGCTCTCCACAGTCTTTCAAGGAAATACAATCTCTTTGCCCCATATGCTGCAGACATTGTACCTTGCCATCATTTGAGGGAAATCATTCCTACCTTCCATACTCAAAGTCTCCTACCTTGAACACATTCTCAATGCCTAGAATCTTCTTCAGTTTAGCTTTAATATTCTCATACAGAGATGGCTCCTTCTCTTCTTTAGGTCCTGAACTTGTTGCATCAATTATTTTGGAAGCTGCTTTGGCTCCTGCTTGTATCTCTAGCTGTATTTTTTCAATATCAGCACCTGTATGAACTAAAGTCAAGATACTCATGTTCCAGCACTGTGCTATTTGAGTATCATTCACAGAGATTGACAGAAAAGCTTGTTTTTGTTACTGTACCTGGCAGCAAAACTATTTTGGCTTCAAGTTCTCCAACTAATTTGTTCAGACAGGTATTTCTTAAGAAAGCAGAATTCCGTGACTTTAGGCTGAGACAAGCAGAACATCCCAAACTGGCTAATTTTCTACAGAAGACGCGTGCATAAGACCTCTGTCCTTCACCATGATGATGTTCATCTTCTGAACCTTGCAAGTGTCCTCTGGATATCCCACTGCGAATATTTCTTTGCTGCATTAAATAAAAACAAGGTAAAATATCTTACAGCTCTCAAGATCTTTTCTATATTCTTACTAATGATGAAAATGGTAACAGTCATGTCTGAGAAAGGAAACATTGCTTAAAATTGTACACCCAAGCATTGGAAGAAGTGAGGTTTCTTCCAAAACCACATAATCACAAAATTATAGAATCGTGGATGTTGGAAGAGACCTCCAGAGATCATCGAGTCCAACCCCAAATGTGCTGTGGTCAGGTCACCTAGCCAGCCTTTCCCAGGCAGTGCTAATCAAACTGACTCCCAAATGAGAACCTCCAGGACTTGCTGGAGAGATAACAGTCTTCCCGCAGCAGTTCAACATATCCATCCCTTGCCAGCCGTAGGCCTGAGAAGCTGAAGATCACTGCAGAGAATGGGCTTCTGCACTTCCCTGCAGGGATTCTCTTGGGATTTGGGAAGCTGTCTGTTCTCTACCTGCCTGCAGTACAGGCCTTGTTACCTCCCAGCTTCTGGCTCTTGAAAAGATTTCTGATGACTGGAAATGCTGATTGGAGACAGTTGGCATTTCTCCGTTGGGGAGAATAGGGGACTTCTTCTCAGAATCTACTTCTTCCACGTTTCTTGAAATAGCATAAGCTTCACTCCTGTGGAGGTGATAAAAAGAAAGCAAATAACATCTTCTAATTTTGCTTACCACCACCATCTTTAATAGTGGAGAGAGATGAGCAATGAAAAAGAGAATACTATGCTTCATATGGATGCCAAAGTACAGCTGAGTCTGAAAAGGAGTTGTGCATTCATAATTTATGAAGGAGAGCTCACAATCGGTTAACACAACAAGCAATGTGTGGCCAACTCTTCTGTACCTTACAGCTGCGAGCTCAACTTCCTGATGGCAGGGAAGGGTTTCAATCTTCACATTCTTCTCTTTCATATTTATCCTGGCATCAAATTTCATTGTAGTGTTGGCACTGAACTCTGCATGAAGTTCAAGACCACTCTGAAGGTACTGTGTATTAGTACCCATCATTGCAATCATATGAAAATATACTCTGAAAGTGTGAAATAAAAACATGCATAATTACAAATTAATATATGCATTTTTATCTTTGAAATGCAGAATTGAATTTTCATAGTGTTCTGTTTATTGCAAGAACTACTGCTGACAGATTAAAAAGATGTAACAGGATAAAAAAGCTGAAGTGCCACTGGAGAGTAAAAGGTTTTATCTGATGAACAAAGTGAACATGGATCCTCTCACTGCTTTATCACTGATGCACTGCTTGAGGACAAGCTAACATCAGAATCTTCCTCTAGCTTCCAATTTTGTCTAATTGCTTATTATTATCACCATTCTTATTATCATTATTACTATTATCACTGTTAGTACAGTTGCTGTTGCTTTTCTCTATCTAGAAGTGTTTTCCTTTTCTCCCTAAAATCTCCCCAGCTTGCAGCTTCTGGTGATGAAGAAATTATACATAAGCAAACATGTCTTTACAACTTAGTAGCTTTAGACACTGAACAGGTACAAGTGTGAGCATTTTCAGCAATGGCAGAACGTCACCACATTCCTTTTTGACGCTGTGCACTTTGCTAGGCTTGCAGGGTCACAAAGCATCACATGATTGTGTTGCTTGCTTACAGGTTCACTGCTCAGGACTAGTACAGCCATCCCAAATTTGGGACAAACAACATCCTTAACCAGCACACCTACTTCAAACAAAGTAAATATAAATGAATGTGTGTATATACATATGAAAATATATGTCATTCATACTTTGGTTTCACATCAGCATGAATATCCATGTTGGTTTCCAACAACTGTGAAGGTCTGAAGTTGTCCAGTAATGGTGGTGACATCTGCATATCAACTGTAAAAGACAGAGTGAAATTACATGAGCAGAGAAAAAAAAAAAAAGCTGGAAGTGCAATTTTTCAGTTAACACAGTAGTTAATACACAAGCTGTGCTTCTACATTTTTAAATGCTTCCCATGGTTATTTGAAGATCATTACTCTTGAAACAGAATTATACAAATATGTCCTAAGTGCAGCATGATAATTATTTCCCAGCCCCTTTGGATGTTCCTGGGCACTAGTATTTCCACATTACAAGAGCATTTCTCAAGATTACAGAGGGAATTAATGCCAGCAAAGAGATGGAACAGCAGCTGCTGGGAAGGAATGGCTGTTAGGTGCCCCACGCTCACCGGTGGCCGCAGCCTGAGCCAGCGCGGCACCGCATATGCTGAGCTCCAGCGGCAGGCCCAGCACCGTGGGGACGGCGTGCCGCAGCTCGGCCACCACTGCTGGCAGTGCCCATCGGCCTGAAACACCTCGCTGGGCCTCCTCCACTGCTCTTTTCACTGCTGGCTGCCAGCTTGATGATCCAGTTAGACTCTGAAGACAGAGAAATGGGTTAAATGAGCAGGCGTGGTGAGTCAGGGAAGGGAAATTATTCAGCAACACAGACAGAAAAGGCTACAGCCTTGCCACTACCTTCATGGCTTGCTGAATGATGCTGCTGTCAATGTCAATGAAGGCAATCTCCTGGCCCAACACTTTGATGTAAGCAGACAGCAGAGGATCTTCGGGAGGCAATTCTTTCCACCCCAGAAGCTGCAGTGTTAAGGAGAGGTGAAGGAGAAAGGGAAGAAACAGTTTCTTAACATACATCATTGTATTAACAAAGAGTAGATCACATCTGAAGCATACTGACTATAGTTCCTTAGCCAAAAAAATGGTAGACATCTTACAGGCGTGAACTGATGTGGCCTTTCTCATGTTGCTTAACTGACTTCAGTGGGTGTTTCCCTACATAAAAGTGTGGTAAGTGAGGTAATTTTTGCTACTTAAGTACTGGGTGACACCCAAGGGCTCATAAACAAAAGTCTTATTCACTAATCATTTTAAGAGAGAAGAGCAACCACTTACTGTGTTTTAACATACACTTCAAACCACATGAATTTTGCCTAACGTCATTGTCATCATCTTTTGCACTGTACATTAAGGGCAGCTTTGCATGGTGTGCTGACACACATTGAGTGAAAAGATGGCATCTGTGCTCAGTGTAAGTACAGTCTAACTAAATGCATCTCTCTGTGACCAAACAGGATGGCTGACTGAAACATCAAAGGGGTGGCTAGGATGGTAGCTGATGCAACTGTGGTTCTGGTGGGAACTGTCTATTCAAACAAATCAGGAGGGTGGATAAAGGCATACCGTTTTACCAAGTTCCTTCAGGGTCTTGTATGTATCATATTCAGCAAAGGGAATATTCTGTTTCCGGATGATATTGGTTAGGCTTTGTGACCGAAGAGCTATCTGTAGGAAACAGCATGGAGCATCACAGCTCAAGTACCAGAAAACTCAGAAATACCTTTGTACCTGACATTACACTCACCAAGGCAACTCTAAATGCATACTACATGAAGCCACAGCACTTACAAGGTTATGCTTACTTGGCAGGTGACTGCTGGCTATGACTTCAGATGCTGAGGGCGTGCTGAGCTAGCTTTGAATTAGTCAGCAGGGATAATTTTAGGGCAGCTCAAAGATCAGCACAGGCTATAAAACTTACCCAAGAAGGCGAGTTAATGCCTGCATGCTGTTACATAGAGATTTGTGCTGCTGGGGCTGTGCTGCTGCCCGAAATTTAATTTCAGCTGCTCATTCCCTGTACTTACATAAAACATCCCAGATGTCATATGATTTTAGGTAGGCAGACAAATACTCTGCTACATAAGCTTTCCTTTGCTCTTGTAGATTTTCATGCCTATACTGAAAGTATTCAGACCACTTGTCAAGAAGCCCAGATACAAGTAAAATTATAATCATTATATAAATTTTCCCTTCCACATCAATCTTCACAGACAGTCAAACAATGCATGCATTAACAAATAATGATGTCTGTAGCTGAGTTGTAGCTTGTTTTAATGAAATACTTACTTCTACAATATCTGTTGCAGTATTTGCGTAATATCCTCTTACTTTTGTTATTATATCAGATGGAAACATAGAGTTGGGACTGTTCATTAGATAAACTCTCCAAATTGCACCAGTCTTATACACATCTATAACAAACAAAAAGCAGAAAAGATTTTTTTAGGGTCTCCAAGGTGTCCGGTGAATTTAAGCTACCTTAGGTGCATACTGTACTAGACAGCAAATGACTCAGCCAGGATTCAGCCCCACAGGTCCTCAAGCTTGTAACTTCAAAAAGGGATCTTTGTTTGAGGGCAGAGTCAAAAAAATCACAGTGATCAAATTAGGAGGTCTAAATCCATGCACAGATACTTATTTCCCCATCAGATACCCAAAGAGTAGTAGAACACCTTCAGAAGATTTTGCATTTTAGGAGGCTCTGGTGCTTTCTTCTGTTTGAAGGGTGTGCTAAGCCCACAGCCCACAGCAGGATTTTGGGTGGAAATTATGACACACAGTAGAAGCATTGAGCTATGTAAGCCTAAGTGGTGAACAGGGCATCTGATACTCACAGGAATAACCACCAGCATGAATGACATTGCTGTAACGATAGCTCAACCTGCCAAATCTGGGGCTCAGAAGCTTAATGGCAATGTTGCAAGCAGCAGATCTGAGTAATAAAGAGTTAAAATCATATGAAGATAGTCAACTGTGACCAAATTCTTAGAAAACTGAGAAAAATTTATATCACCATTTGCAACTAAAAATTGTACTTCATCTGCTTACAGATTGTAGAGCTGTGGGATCCCACCTACTGCCAACGCCTTCATGTGAGAATATGTGAAACTGGCCACTTGTAAGCTGGTCTCCGTCAGCAGTGAGCTGGCCATGGCTGCCACAACAGGAAGAGAAGGCTTTGTTTCAAAGAGGACAATGCAAGCCGTCATGCGCACATTAGGAGCAAGTGTGCTGTCCATAAAAATTTGGAGAGTGATCTCCCTTACCTAGAGGAGGAAGATACAACCTGTGAATTGCTCATGCAATTCAATGCATGCATTGCTCATGATTGCTCAGGAAGAGGTGTTTCCTAAACTGTTCATGTCTGATCTGCAGTGAATGGTGAACAAAACCCAAAACATTGAGCATGGAGCCTGTCACTGAAAATAAAGATATTGCTGGGTGCATAATAAACAGAGCTGGAAGAAAGAGCTGTTAGCAACAGTGTTATGGTGGCTGAAGCAACTACCTTCCCAGGATGTCAACAAGGATGGGATAATATTAGTGATTTGCAACATGGGAAAGAGGAAAACCTGTTACTATAAAATCTGCCCAGAGTTCCTAACATCATCCGATGGCTTTATTATCCCTTCATCACTAAGGCAGCCTAAATCACACCCTCGAGGGTAATCACATAAATAATAATTTCAGTTACTTTTGCAGGGTCTTTTCTGGCTATTTTCCTCAAGGCCAGCACGGCATCAGCATGAATTCTGCTCGGTAATTCTGCAGCAGCAAGTGAAAATGTTGGCAAAAATTTCTGGACGCGTTTGATGCTGGCTGGCTCTCCTGCATTGCCTATAGCTTTCAGGGCCAAGGCTATGTCTTCAACACGGCTTCTGCTGGAAGCTTCAGCAGCAAGGTCATGGAGTGGCTGAAATCAGAGCAGACTTTTGTTAATTTCATCAGGCAGCAATCCTGCAATACCGCATAAAAATATACACTGCCATAGCAAACAAAATGACCTCTGGTGCAAAACCCTCAGTAAAGCCATTCGGATTTTTCTCCCAGAAGGACTCACTGCTAAGAATGAGGCACGTAAACACCTCGTTGCCAAACTTTCAGCATTGTGAGAGGCAAATTAGAGGCATTCTAAAAATTTCTTCACCCCTAATGAAATAATGAGAGTTGAGAGTCACCTACCTGAAGAAGTTCATTAGGACAAAATGAAGGCTGAGCACAGTATTTATTTACCAAGCTACCATATCCCAGGTAAACAAGTACTCGCAGCATTGGTGTTTTCTGAATTTGGGGACAGGTTAGAAAAGTCTGCAGAAGAAAGAAGTAATAGTCGTTAATATTTTGATTTATTAGAGCTGGCATGCAGTGAAACATTTATATCTGAAAAGTAAGTAAATAAAATTACTTTGGATTTTTCATAAATATTTTCAGAATTTGAATCAAATGCTAGTGATTCAGCTATGATTGAAGTATAGCTGCTCCAGCTCTGATTCATGCACTTTAGGTGTTGGTTACTTTGTGTCAATTTCTTCAGTCTGCCTGATTTTTTAAACTACACTTTGGCAAAATGAAATCAAAAGCAATTTCACAGTGAAAGTTTTAAAAAATATTCCTTACAATTTTTTTGCAATAAATGTTTGGAAACATTTTCTAAATTATTTTCCATTTTTGTTAATAGCTTGCATTTTACAAAATAAGAATAAAACACGTTGCATTCTTTGCTTGTAGCTGTGTGAATTCACCTCCAAAATGAGTGGCAGGGTAGCAGGCGGGAGGATAATTTGTACTCACTGAGGCAACTTCTAGGGTTTTCTTACTGGGCGTGACAGAATGGAAGGCGAGAGGGAGAGCCACAGCTGCTTCCCAGATGTTAAGATTCTTATCATGAATTTTTTGTTTGAGGAACTGGAACGTGTCGGTAGCTCCAGCGGCACACACAGCGCTCATGAACCAGTGCCTGCCAGGGAGGGGAGAACTCATTACTGAATTGCTCAGCATTTCTCTGGTTGGGAATCCCACCTGACAGCAGTGCAGTTACCTGTACGGCGGTTCACTGGCAAACTGCACCCACACAGACTCGATTTCATCCAGGGTCACTACACGAAGCAACTGGACCATTTGTAAGAACTTAACTGAAGCTTCTGTAGTGCCTCCTTCTTCATTATTCTGAACTAATTGTTGCAGTGTTTCTTTTAACTGTGATGAAAAAAACAGAAAGTTGAAAGGTGCCATGCCTCAAGTAATTTTCAGAGCTGTTAACAGGTCAAATGATCAGTAAACATCATAAATAATGAAAAAAGTGTGAAAAATAAGCCTCTACTACCTGCACATCTGCATTTTTGACTCTTATTAGAGGAACTGGCATCTGGAGCAGCCCTCCTGGGAAATGATAACGAAGACTCCCCTGATTTTGCAGTTGAGCATCTGGTGCCTTTATGGGAATGCTTTTAATGTCAACCAGAACCAGTTTTTGTCTTGAAGAGAAAGACAGAAATGCCTCAGTGGCAGTGTGTCACATCTCATGAAAGCTGGGCATATACAGCCAGGGCCATAGGATGAGGGTGCCCAGCACTTGAGCCGCAGTGCCACAGTGCAGAGCAATCTAGGGTTTGTGCATTGCTCTGCATTGTCTGGAAATGTCACCAGACAGACGAGAGCTTTCACTACTGCTTGCCATACTGCTGACATTCACTGCACTCACCTGGCTTCCACGGCTGCTGTCCCGTCAGGCTCATTGAAGGGGGAGATCTGGTACATCTGCTCAGACATGGCAGACAGCATCAAGGCTCCACTGTCAGAGTACTTCATCTTGTAAGTGAACAGCACTGTGCCCTTCATGTTTCTGACTTTCTAAAGGTTCAGAAAGACACAAATATGAAGTGAAAATCATTAACTGGTTACAGACAAGACAAATTCCTTCCAGCACCAGCGGAGAGCTTGGCCAGGCATGCAGCCTACCATGGGGCAGGTGGGGCAGGGCCGGATGTAGGCCATGCCTGTGCTCTGCACCGCTCTGTCCTGGCAGTCCGTCAGGTCCTTGCTCTTGGAAATGGTGGCACGGTTATTCTTGCTGTCATCCTGGATAACGTATCTGGTCTGGCAGATGCCTTCAATCCCGGACTGTGAGTGTTCATAAAGCATGACAAAATTTCACTAGAAATTTCACTTTCATTACAGCAGCATATAGGTCAGTGAAAATTACCTGGCAAGGGTTATGTATGGGCAAGCTACTATGTAACAGTAAAGGAGCATAAATGTGAAATCAGAATGGAAAGAAACAAACCTCTTGTAGTTCATACACATTTTGTGACTTTTTGACAGTTATCTGCATCATGTTCAGAATCCCTCTCACAAGGTTAGTGCAGAGGATGGGACAGTTCTCAGGGGCGTAAATACTTCCCACTTTTCCCTTGGTGTATTCAAACTTAAAGGCTTGGCTGAAACATGCAGCTATGGTCTCTGTGAGCTTTGGAGACAGAGTGAAGGCGTCTCCGGGCCAGAAGCCATGGTATTCCTCCAGCTTTGGTGATCGGATCTGTGAACAGAATCAGGAAAACATTCATCTTGTTCACCATCAGCTTGAAACAGTGCAATAACAGTGCAATTGGACACTCCTAGTCCATGGCCAGGTACTTCTCCAGCACTCAGGAGATGTTTTTTCTCCTCAGACTCTTGCACTACGCCTAGGACACCACCTTACAAATAAAATTTCCCCAAAGGATTTCTGCCAGAAAAATAAGGTAATGCAAGCAGTGTCTATAAGTTCAGTAAGCACAGTGAAGCTTACTGGGTAGTGAAAGCCTGGCTGCCAGGGGTCTGTATGGAAAGGGCATCTCCTATTTTCCCCAGTTCCTCAGCGTGTCCTCCTTTCAGTCCTGCAAGTCAGCAGGCCATCCCTCAAGCTGCCACCTAGACTGTTTTGGTGTTGCCTCTTGGTTGAGCACGTCCCAGAGCAGCAAAGCTGCGGCAGGGCTGCTGGGGAAGCAGAAGCAAGCAGGGAAGCAGGGGCTGGCAGCTGCTTTGCAAGTGGCTGCCATCACTCGGAGTGTATCGGGCTGTACAGCTTGCTTGCAAGTCCTGGACTGCTCCCTAGTGGGAAGCGTGTGCCTGCATGCACACACGTACACAGTCACACGCACAGACATGCCTCCAGCCCTCCTGCACTGAGGCGCATGTTTCTGCGCAGAGAGAAATGGTGTGGTTTTAGGGCTCTATTTTGGGCTTTTTTAATCAGAGCTACAGCGGTGGCTTGCCTCTTAAAGTAAATCCTATTCAAGACTTTTTTTTCTGTAATTGCTGAGGTTATACCAAATTTAGTGAGGCTACAAAAAAAATCCTGCTGTTTTTAAAGTGTGTCGTATCTGGAAGTAGATATTCCCTCTCACTGTTGCAGTAATAGATGCACAGAGTTACAGGTTCAGTAAACTCTAGGACAAATGCAAAGCGCCCTCTTAGAGCTCTCTCCACATAGTCATCCCTCCTCTATTGTCTTTTGTTCTGTGACAGTTTCTTAAGATGTTTGTTTTAATCTTTCCTATGTGTAACAGCACTTCCAGATCTGATATCATTATGCCAAGTGAGAGCATTACAATTCTTTACATTTGAATTAAAGTCTATCTGAAGAATGTCAAAAGGAATATAATGGAGACAGACGTGAATTTCATTTGTAAAGAATGAATTTTAGCGCTGAGTTTTTCTCACGTCATGGACCGGGCTGAAAAACACAAATTCCTCATACCTGAATTTTCTTAATTTTTATACTCAAGTTTATTGTTGCCTTTACTAAAACTATCTTAAGGGCACTGCCTTAAAGCAGTAGCCTGCCATGTCTTTCCATGGAGCTGAATCCAAGCACGATTTGTAAGTGGGCTCAGGCACTGGAGCAGCTCTGCCTCCCTCCAGAGATCTGCAGGGTGAGAGTGCTGCCTGTGCAAAGCCACTCAGTCTGACACCGGGACTGTGGGGTGGTCTCAACACCTGGAAGGACCCTAAGGTTTTGTGCAAGGTTTGTATTCCTGTCTTGTTTATTTTTCCAGCAGGAACTATATCCCAAGCTGTGTGGTGCAGGAGGAGGGATGGGTTCACATACCCTTGGGAAGTTACCTGCAGAAGGTGGTCGCTGTGAGACACACGGCTGATCTCCAGCCTGCAGATCAGCTTCAGCCCCGCTGTTGCCAACCCCTTGCCTGGCAGCCCATGCAGGATGAGGCCCTCATAGTCATACAGGTAGGTCTTGCCAGTACGAAAACCAGGCTCTATTGAAAAATAAATGATAGAAATGCCTTCTTTACTATGTCTGCTGTGCTATCAGCCTCATGAACCGTCCCAGCATTGGAAGGGGTGGGAAGGAAGTACATACCACTGGCAGATATGGGGAGTGCACTTACCAAGGTCATACTTCTGGGCCCCTGCATGAGAGGAAAGAGAAGAGTGCGTGAAGAAACCCAAACTCTGTGGGCACTTTAGCATTTATTGTTCATTTACTCAGTGAGCTGATGGCAGTTGGACAGCCAGCACTGGGCTTCGGGAGCACACCCCTGGGACTCCAAGCCCACTCCAGCCCTGCTTGCTACATGCTGCTGTGCTCAGGCACATAAATCCAACAGCTGACAGTCAAAGTCAGAAAAAAGCTTCAGCAGATTATGGTGGGAATGTCCCTGAAAGGCTCTGAGGAGGTGCCTGTGGAGCACAGCAGCCGTTGCAGCTCTGTGGTACCAGTAAAGTTCAGACTTACCCACAAGGGCGAACACCAGGGCCAGGATGAGTCCCCTCATGCTAAAAGTGACTGAACACTACAGGGGAAATGTGCACCTTTTATAGAAGAATTATTAACAAGTCCGGGGAATTCTGTTGAGTTATCAGTTTCTTATCGACCACTCCAACCCGATTGGTGATAGGGCTGGGGACTCCTGACCAAAGTCATTGCTGTGCCAAAATCATCACAGGCAATCTTCTCACCTCACCATCTAAATGCTCAGAAAGCACCTTTTGGAAAAGATGGTTAAAAGTATTAAAATATCACTAAAGCCAAAATATTTATTGTGTAAGGAAAATTACTATCATTACTCATTGGAAGCATTTGGTGCTATTGCAGCCTGCGCTAACTTTGCCCAGGTTATCCTGACCGGACCAAAAGGAACAAACCTTATCTAACCGATAGTGCTTCACAAGGATTATGCAAAGCCTGGGCAGCACTCCTGTGACACTGCACTGATGCCCTTTGGCTGCTGCACACACTGTCATCCACAGCACTGCTCCCTGAGGGTGGGGAATCCACCTAGCAACACTAATTCCCACCACTGTCACAAAGGCTGCAGCAAAAAGCAATTGCTCACATGCGTGTCTCCCTTACCTGCCTTTCTTACCAGGACATCACATCAGTGTTCTTGCCAGCCACGCACAGATGTGGGTGAGGAGGGACCTGGAGGGGCTGCCAGACACTGTGGACACAAGGCTCCCAGCTGATGAAGATGCACATACTCTGGTTTGCCAAAAAAAAGGGGCAGCATCCTCACAAAGTGGGGTCCCTTCTGTCAGTCAGCAGCCAACCACCTGCTGCCACTTACCCTGCTGCTTTCCATGAGCGGGTCTGTGAGCAGGTTCCCTTTTCAGGAGCTCCATAAGGCTGCTCGAGGTGCAAGGCTCAGCTGGGCCTCCGGTCCCTTGTCCTCTGGTGAGGTGTGGAGTTGGACAATGGTGGCAGGGCTGTGGGCACTGCTCCCATTGCAGAACTGTTGGAGAGGCAGCCCAGCAGCCCTGGGCCTGGGATTTGAATTCTCTCCTTTGGGGCTGCCAGTGTGTGCAGACAAACTGGGGAGGGGAACCAAAGCTTCTTCTCAACCACCATGGGAGGCATGGGCTCACAGGGCACAGAATTCATCTCAGTTTTAATCAATGCAGCAGGGACTCCTATTCAAGACAATTTGGTTTTCCTAAGGCTTTTCAGATGATATTTTTTTTATAATTGAGCAGTTAGGATATAATTTATAATACCTGAAACACTAGACTTTGTTCATGCATCAAGGATGTTTTACCAGTACTGTATCCTGGTTCTGTTTGTTTTAACCTCTTCTTCTATCAAAGTGACAGAGTATGACAGAGAAGCTAAACCATACAAGCAGTGAGCAGCTCCAGGGAGTTGTGTCATGTCTTCTGAGATTTGGCAAACGGTAAACATAGCTAAAGGACACACATCTGCTGGCACCTGATGAGGGGCTCAAAATCCAACATACTACTGAACGTTTATATGCAGCTGCACAATTTAAAAATGAAACAACCAACCAACAAACCCTACCTATGTAACTTAGCCATGTCTGGACTTTGAGGTATAGCAGCTCATATTCCAATACAGAAGGAGTTTGGAACCAGCTCCCTCATACCTCTGGATGTAATTTCCAAATACTACAGACCTGTCAGGGAGGAAACTGCCCTCAGTTGTGGTGGAGCCCTTTCCCAGCAAAGCTGGCACTCCCAGAGGAGTGTTCCGTTTTCATCTCTTATTCACTGTTGCATTCACCCACCCCACTCCAACATCCAGGTGGCGAATACTGCACCCCAAGCACCCTGCCATGCTGTGGCCCAGACAGGATCCTCTCTGATGCTGCCCCACAGTCTGTCAGTGGAGACTTCATCTTTGCGTTTTTCTGTGTAGATCTGAATCTCTTAATCTTTGTGGGCCATTTCTCCAGCCTGTCAATTTAAACTCTCGTTATGGCCCCTTACATCCCCACATACTCACACCTCTTCATCATTTACATTTATCCAGAGGATATAACCTGAATTAAAAAAAAAAAAAAAAAAGTTGGGGGGGAGGGGAAATAGGAAAAAAAAATCACCAGTGTGAGGTAATGATCAACTCTGCTGTGCCCAGGAGCAGCCATGAACATGATTTCCGTGGAGCTCCAAACAGTGCCTACAGCACAGGGCAGGATGAGGCCAGGGCCCCCAGCAGCGACACCGCAGCTTTGGCTGAGGAAAGGAGCCAGCAGCCCACCTTTGCAGGAAGCCTCTGGTGTGCTGGATGCTTCTGGGCAGGGCTGTGCTTCCCTGAGGTTCCTACTACCCACAAGTCCAGATGCCTGGGTTGAGAGCCCCCTAGACCTTTCCACCACTGCTCGGGTGTCTTCCATTCATGCTGACTTTCCAACAGCTTCCCTTCAGTATCGAGGACATTACCTTTCCAAACTATAAAACCCACATACATACAAACACTGAAGTGCCCATGCTGCTGGAGAAAGCAGAACGACACAATATGTATAGAGCTTTCTCAATCCCTTTGCCCAGCAACCATCTTTCCATTCATGTGCTAAGAGGAAAGTGCAGTTTTGCCTTCATTGGTTGCTCCTTATTTTAAGAATCAAGTCACTTATTTCTCTTTTAATTAATTTACCAAAAAACTAGAGGCATGCAGCCTGCCAGTCCAGCCCAGAGCAGACAGAAAGACCAACCAGGAGCACACACCTGGAACCCTATGGCCTCCAGCACTCAGGGCAGCCAAGTACATCCCTCACCATGCCCAGAGAGACCTGCTGTGGGTGGGCTTTGCACCCCAGCTCTGCTCAGAGACTCTTGACTCACACCAGCTTCTGTGTGCTGCGTCAGGAAAGTCACATTTCCTCCCCCAGAGCAGCCTTGTCCATATGCTTGAGGTTCAGGTTCATTCCCTGAAAGCTGTTCCCTACACACTGTCACTGCAGAGCACCTCTTTGCATTACTGCCTCAGAGGGCGCGTCTCACCCAGAGCCAACCAATTCCTACTGTGGTGGCCAGGATCTCAGCAACAGGGAAGGAAGCACAGGGGAAACAAGCTGGAGCCTGGTAGGCAGCTTCTGCCACTCCACTCGACCCATATCGCAGGTGGGGCCTGCCACAGACCCTTGCCTGACGTACATCTACACAGCAGGCTGCCACAGCTTCGACTGGGGTGAAGAGAAGCACTGCAGACATCCTCTTGCCACAGTCAGTGAAAGAAGGAAGCCTTCACTGGTTTTTCCATGCATGTATTTATTATGAAATCAAATAGTTATAGGCAATTAGAATAGTTTCTACAATAATAAAGTTTAATACTTTAAATGACTTGTGAAAATTCCACACATCTTTAAGCATTTAATTTAACGTTTCCATTGCTTCTTGAGATGAGTCTTCTTACACAACACAATAAAAACTAAAATGTTTCTGTATTCTCCAGTGCTGCAATGTACAGCTTCATGTACTGCATTCTTCATTCTCACATGAACATGCTGTGTGTGCATCAACAGTATCCTGCATGTCCTCTGACTTCTGGTCGAACTTCATCTGTTTGTCAGCCAGGCTCGTAGCTGAATCTGATGATTAACAAGAAATGGAAAGCAAGCAGCATGCTTTAGAAGCAGTTTTGCAAGGTATGGCATTTACCATGCACTCATCATTAATTAAACCAGGCTTGGCTTCTCCTTGCTGTCATCCATATTTATACTCGGCTAAGTCAAGCTGAGATGTTCCAGGAAAATCACTTACTTAATAAGTCATTTCTACATTGGAAACCAGTTCTTCCATGTAGAATTTTATTAAGAATACATTTAGAAAAAGAAATTGTGGTCTTAAAGGAAAACACACTTTGAAAACACACACAAACATATAATCAATATGATCTATACCTATCTAATCTAATCTGTTTGATATGCAATATCTCTACAATATAGTTGTAGAAGGGATATGTTGAGTATCGCCACACCTGCGGGCAGGAATCCTGTTCACACCTGCCCTTCTGTGGCCTAAATCAGCTCAGGAAAACAGGATTATGCCCAAAGGCAGTGATAAGTGAAAACATACAGGATGAGGATCACTGTTTCAAGGTGTGGAACACAATCCTGAATTATCACATGCTGCAATACAGCCGAGTCACATGTTGACTGTGCTCTTACCCTCTCCTTACAGTGTTAGATTCAAAGATCATGAAGAGGAGATCAGTTTAGATTTTAAATGCCACTGCCATGACGAGCAGTAAAATTACAACAATTACAATTACAAAATTACAATTTCTGCGGGCTTACCAGCTGGGAGGCAGTGGAAACCAACAGTGACTGGAGTTGTCTTGGTAGCTGAGCATCCCTTCATACAGCGCAGCACAGGCTCTGTTGAGTAGCACTTGGAATCAACACCCGCAAGCTGAACCGTCTTCTCAAGCTTCACGAATGAGCGATGCAGTTTACAAGCTGTAACAGAATCACTGATGGTAGTTTATGTTCTTACGTGCAAAATGTTCAAATCTCCCCAGACTGACCCATCTGCCAACCTGCAAGCAAATTGCTTCTATAAAGACTGAATGTTGATCATAAGCAAAGCAGCACTGCATCACTGACTGATAAGCTTTTCAAATCAGCTAATTAGATATGGAGTTATTGAAAGTTAATTTCAACTGTAACTGGCTTAATTTCTAGATTAACGTGTAAAAACAGTCTGGAATACATTCCAATAAACATTTTGCAAAGTAAACTGGCTCACTGAATAGCCACCAAACCATATACAAAGGCTTTGAGTATTCATCAGTAGAAAGAGGAGAGGGGTGTTTCCAAACAAATGAAAACAATAACTGAAGAATTACACCATTACCACCATCATTCAGACTCAAAACTGCTGCAGAGAGAGCAAATATCACTGCTGCCAGCTGGTAATACTGGTCCCATTTTGGATTCCCAGGACAAGTTACAAGTGTGTGAGTAGCTAAGTGAACCACGTCTAAGCTTTAATCTCAGTATGTCAGTCATTTTCACCATATGCTGGAGGAGGGAAACACAGAGTGCTGCAACTAGCAATAGGATGAATTTT